GATCCATAGGAGGGCAATGGGGGCAATTGCCTCCCCCCCCCCCTACAATAGTAGTTTTATTTTTTTCAGCTCTTTATTAAAAATTATAATTAAAAGTTATTGATATACAATTTATTTAAATGTTGCAGAGTTTAGTTTGTTAGACTAGTGTAGTAGTGTTCTAGTAAATGTAAAACAATTTATATCACAAAATCTAGTTTACGATTTCCCGATTTGGCAAAACGTTCAATTACGTTTTCAGGATTTACTAGAAAGTCTCTGTATACATTCAGTAGTGCAAATCCGACTAGTCTGTCTTCCGTCATTCGTGCTCTCAGCCAGGTTTTAATTCTTCGCAGAGTTAAAAAACTACGTTCAGCACTTGCAACACTAACAGGACATGTTTTAATAATTTGAAACAATTTTTGACTTATTGGATATTGCACCTGGTCACACAAATCAAAAATATTAGAAAGTTCAGTAGGTAATGATTTGACTCCTCCTTCCATGTTCATTCACAAGCATTTGCTCTGCCATAGTTCAATTTCCGATAAAAATTCAACTGATGGTAAGTGTTGGAGTGTTTTTACATTAGCGTATTTTCATTTATTTAAATTTTATTTCAAGTTAAAGCATTAATTATTATTAATACCATATCATAATTGGTATCCGAACCAATATTTTGTCGATACCTTGTGAATCTGATTTTCATATCTACGATCGTTTGTACAAGCTCAACCCAAAAAATAATTTTATAGCATTACATGGATACATGATATAAAACATTCCTAGATTTTCTTCTTTATTAGTAAAAACTAAAATAAAATTGGTGTGGGGGGACGGCAGACTCCTAATTTATGGGGGCCCTGCCGACTCCAGCCCCCAAACCTCCAGCAGAGCCTCGCTACCCGCTCGGCATGCATAAATTAAATCGCCCCCTCCTTACGAGATGACCTGGATCCGCTCCTGCTTAGCAAAAGTCTTTGTTGTTTTTTTTTCACCTTTACGCATGATAGTGTCTCACTTGCTGGTAGTTATCCTACTGTTATCATCTCTTTCATAGAATGCAACAGATGCATAACGAAACACTGTAGACTTATATCTTGCACGGTACTGTGAACAATTTGATCTTGATAAACGGCGTATACTAATACCATTAAAATCTTGAAATGTTTTTCTTAGTTTATACTTCTTCGTCAGTTTAGATGTAACTATTTTTGAGATGAAAAATCTTTCTCTATCTGATTTGGTTGCTGAAAACTTCTTGCGTAAGGTATCACATAAAACATTATGAAACAGAAGTGCTCTTTTGACTTCAGGGCACCCATTCAAACCTTGGGTCATGTTTCTCGTTTTACTGCGTGGCGCGTTACTGTTTAATGCTTTCTTGCCTAATTTTTTTGCTCGCTTACAATATTTATTGGCTTGCTTGCTTAGCTTCATCACCTGTACTCGTAGCTTGTTTATCAGTCGATACGCTTTTCTTCGTTCCTTTCAGCCAAGTTTCATTGTGGTTTGGAGTTAATGCACTAGGTAATGAAGGAAACAATGTATCTCGTAGAGATTCTATACATAAATCATTTATCAATGACAATCGTGTCTTTGTATTTGCTCTACTGCGCTGCTGAGCTTCTCGCCATTGTTTCCGTTGACGTCGCTGCTCACGTTCAGTATTCGGCTTTGTAGCTTTTCTTCTTTGCATTTGACGCTTTCGTTCCTTCTTCTTATAATCTTCAAATTTGCAGGATTATTTCTTATTTTGGCTCTGAATTTCGATTGCCTTTCTTGGTTTGATTTCCATAATTTTAATTCAGATTTCTGATAGAAACAAATAGAATATCAGTTCTTAAATATCGATAGCAGCAAAATAGAACTATTAAATGGTAGTTTAAAATAAAAAAATATTTATGGTTTAAATAATAACTATATTTATGGTTTAGATAAAAATTTCTGATACGTAAATTCTTTATTATCCAACTATTAAACTGGTTTTTTACATAAACAGTCATTTATTTAACGTTTGTCAAATACGTAACGCTATTGTCACGTCCGTAACGTAATTACGTTACGTATATGACTGTTACGTATTTGACATTTTTACTATGTTTCTGTTCATACGTTTAAAATGACTTAGTCAATTAAATGAAATAATGATTTTTTTTAATAAATAACAACAAAATGTATGTAATCATATAAATGTCAAAAATATAAATATTTACTTTAATAAAAATTCAACCGTTACGTGCCTGACAATTCAAAAACATACGCTACAAATCGAATTTATTTTAAAATCAAAACGCGATAAAATTTGCCTTAATGACCGCTTATTTATAGATTCCTAATAATACGCAAATACTTTAAAATAAAATCAAGCATTTTTTTACGGTAACTACCCAAGAGATTTATTATTTTGTCAGTGAATTGTTATTGTTACGTACATGACAGTAAAATGGAGGACTTTTATTCAGCAAACACACAACCATATAATATAATTAAAATATTCAAATCAGACATTGTAATATTGTCAATTTAAGAGTTTAGCATTAATTTTGGTGACTTAGGCACAGTTAATTGTCAGATTTTATTGAAAATCTATGCAAAACATAGCACTATTAACACCGAGGACAAGTAAAATCTGAAATCCTAAGCCACTTTCAACTTCAGAAAACCTTAGACCAGTAAATTTAAGAAAGATGAAACTTTGCAAAATATTTAAAACTTGTATAAGTAGCTGTTTTAAAACATCATAATTTTTATGACGCAAAATGTTCTTACTATATGTTTGAAATTATTGGACAGGCAAAATGCACCTAATTTCAGAAATACTCATAAGCAGTTAGATTAGACTTTTGGATGCCTTGAGTAACACTGCATCCTATACAATATCTGGACATGACTTCAACATCTAACACTTAGCCACTAACAGTAGAAAAGACTCCATTCAGCGATGAATGTCCTTGCTTGTACCATGTACCATCGCAAGATGCACAAATATCAGTCAGTGCTATATATTTTTTCAATTTATTTGCAGCATTTATCATGGTTTGTTCTGTTACAGTTTTAACAATTGTTAAAACCTTCAAAATTTTTTTAGTCCTAGGTTTAGGTTATTTCACAATTGTACAAAATGTTTTTATGCCTGCATATCCATAGCCCAATAATCACATGCAATAAATTATTTGCTTATTATTATCAAATTTTTTAAAATTGTAATCGAAGTGTAAAACTGGCAAAAATAGTTGCAATCTTTTTTCAGACACTTAAGATATAACAAGATAAACCATATTATTTATTATATCTTTCGTCTAATGAGAGTGTTGGACTATCACATTCCGGATACAGAAAAAAAGTCAAAACAGAAATTAAAATAGCAACATCAATGATACAAAAGCCAGATATACTAGGTTTCAAAACAAGTGCATCTTTTAAGTCTTTAACTTAACGAGATAAAGCGTACAAACTGAGTTTTCAATATTTGGTTTCAAAACACAAATGTAGCATATAAATTTATTGATGGCAACTTAATATTTACACTACTAAAAACCTAATAAATATTACTAGATTTTATTTACACAACCAATAATAACAGATCAACATTTCATAAATCTTTTCCTTTTACAGCGAGTTTGTGTACGTTACATTACTGACAATCTTTTCCCCTTTTCACTACTAAAACTGAGCTGATAAAATAAGAAAATAACTGACTCAAACTGTCGTACTTAATGTACCAACCTTTACAAAAAAATAGACAGTTATAGGTTAATATATAGACAAATAGTTAATATATAGACAGTTATAGGTTAATATGCTACTTTTAAAACATTTTTAGTGATCCTACTCTCGAGTTCCTAATAAACGTCCCCCCCCCCCCCCGTTTATTATTTTTGGATATTTTTCCCACCCACCCTAAGCTTATTAAGACCACCCCCCGTTTATTAATTCTTACTTGTTATCAACAAAAAAATTATATATCTCAAAAGTAAAAAAAAATTCAGTGAAAATCGGCCTTAAAAATTTGAAAATAATTTTCAGTCACCGAAAAAATAAAAACTTTCAGTGTAAACAGGTTTTACAAATTGTCGACCTATTAAATCTTGATTTGCTAAAAATGAACTTTTAGTTTATTTCTCAACAAAGCTTTGGTTTTAATTATTTAATATGCTGAATATAAGTTTTATACTTTGCAAAGTATAAAACTTATATAAGCATATTAAATCCTATTCAATTATGATTAAACCTAACCCTACCCTAACAGCTGTTAAAAAATGCGCTTTTGACCGCAAGTCAAATGTGCATTTGACTTGAATATGCCCTCCCCCCGTTTATTAAATTTCAGAACCCGCCCCCCCCCCCCCGTTTATTAGATTTTGACTAAAATCCCCACCACCCGTTTATTCCCACCCCCCGTTGTATTCGGCACTCGAGAGTACATAGGTAAAAGTAGTTAAAAATTAAGATTTTTTTTTTTTTGAAAATTTTGAAATTTTAGGGGGGATAGCCCCTTAAATTAACATTACATTATTGCATATATTTGAATAGAAATTTAAAGTTGTTCTCTGATATTACGAGAACTGTTTGCACATATTTAGTTTGGTTTGAATGTTTGAAAACCAACGTTCAACGTTGATACGCTGTTATCCAACGATACCGGTAAAAGTTTTTACTTTGATAGGATCTTCTTAGAACATTTTTCTCCTTACAAATTTTGATGTAAAACTGCTACAAAAATAATAACTGAAAATAATAACTAATAATAATAATAATAACTAATAATAATAATAATAACTAATAATAACTAATAATAATGATAATAACTAAATCTGAAACTGCTACAATAATAATAACTCAATCACTTTTTATCATTTTATAATAATAATAGATAGGTTTATCATACAAAAATGCGGTGTCCTTAATGACATCGAATTTATTGTACAAAGTTATCTACTCCCATCCTGTTTGCTCAAACAGGATAGGGAAATTAATTTTTTTAAAGTATTTCCATACTATTAAAGATAAATTAGTTGAATTTAGTAATATAATTTTGGTCTTAAAATCATTTAAATCAAAAATTCTTTTTAAAACTATCATTAAGTAAAAAGTTTCAGTATGTTTTTGTATTTTTTGATAGACTGACACACATTTGTAACGCTATGACTGCTAATCCACACGTGTATGCTGCTTTGAACAATAATAAACTCCAAGAACTTAAACCAAATATATGAGAAGCAATCCTAAAAAAAAGAATCAAATGCAATCCATTTTTATTTATAATTTTTATACTATTAGATAAAACTTTTTTTTTTTATTTAATAAATATTCATGAGTGAATATTTTAAAATACAACCGATATGTGTATGCATATTATATTGGATACATATTATGCATATTATATTGGCTTTTGCTGTAAAAAATTGTCATATTTAAATAAAAAACTTATTAAAACCACACAAATATGGAACCATGGATGTCAAACCTTTTTTTTTTTTTTTGTAAAAAAATAAAAGGTTTGACATTTATGGTTCCATACTTTTTTTGCCAAAAAAAAAAAAAAAAAAGAAAAAAAAAGCTAAGCTTAAAAGAATATTTATTTAAAAATAAAAAAAGTGACACAAAATGCAGATTTGGTATTTTAATAGAATACAGTTTCTTTTAAGTAGTTTACGACTTTAAAACTTAGACTTGAAATTTGACTCTATAGACTTAAGCTTATACCTCTTTGACTTCAAGACTTAGACTTTGGCTTAGACCTCTGAGCTTTTGCAAAACAACTTAAAGTTTATAAAAACTTCTGCTAAAAAAACTTTAAAAAGTTTAATTTAAAAAGTTGATAAACTTTTTTGAGTCAACATGCCCATGCTAGTAAATAAAATTATTTGTTGGTATTTTAACCACTTTTAAATTTGGTAATCTTACCACTAATTTAACCAAATATCAATCATAGTCAAGCTTCAATTGATATTTATTTTGAATTTTATTTTTAAAAAATACTTCAATTACAAACTTAACTTTATAGAACAAATACATGAAATGTTAAGGTAAAGATAAATTTAAAATTATTCTTTGCTTCTTTTCCTCTGATTCTTAGTGGTAACCAAACCACTTTTGCTCAAAATGTAATAATGTAACTATAGTTAACTTTTCAAAGTAAATTTTTTACCAAGACACTGTGAGCTGATAGATAAACAAAATGGAAAAATATTTAGTTGTCTGGACTGTAAAACTTTTTACAATTTTAGTTTCTAAATAAAAAAATTTCTCTATTAAACAGTATTTATTGCTAGTTAATCCATATTAAATCCCTTAGTTGACTTTAAGCATTTGATAATCACAATTTAAAATTTTTTAAATTAAATATTAATAATTTCAATGAGATGACGTTGTGTAATACTTCATTTACACTTTTGATGTCAAATCGGTACATGGTTTTTTTTTTTAGTTATTCAGATAAAGCATTTTGTTACATGAATTTGTTATAGTCTATCATCACAGTAATAATTCAAAGACAAAATATTGAAAAAAGAAAATCAAGAAAAATAACTGTTTGATGGACATATGTTGTTTAATGTGTACTTGAGGTATGAGATGTTTAAATCAAATTTCCATCATTAACAATCCGTAAAATAAAAAATATTTATAGCAAACAAAACTTTTTTAGTTTTATTAAGATTCGTCACAATATTCTCAAAGAAAAATATCTTGGTATTTCCAAGTGAAATAGAACATAAAATTTACCTTAAGTGAAATAAAACAAAAAAATTCATTAGACTTGAAATAGAACATAAAAATTCACTTGTAGTGAAATAAAACGAAAATATTCGCTCAAAGTGAAATAGAACAGAAAAATTCACTTGAAATGAAATAGAATGTAAAAATTCACTCCAAGTGAAATTCACTCTAACTTGAACTAAAATAGAATGTAAAAACTCACTCTAAAACATAAGATCGATAACAACAAAGTATCAACATTATGAATACAACTGGAATATATATTTTTTGAAGATCTTTTCGTGTTCTGAGCCATATCAGAGCAGCAATAGTTAAGTACAATACCTGAAAAAAAAATTATTCACATTTTTTATTAAGATATTTTAAACTTTTTAGTAAAAAAATTAACTTTAAACTTATGAGTAAAATAAATTTACCAAAGTAATGTTTGTATCAAAACTACTTCGAGTATGCACCCAGTCAAACTCTATTGCACGAGCACCAAACCACAAAGGTAACAATTTTGTCATACAAAACTCAGAGCTTGCCCATCCTGTAAAATATATATTAACTTAAGCATATTGGAATAATAATAAATAAAGATATGAAACATAATTTTGATTAAATGTTAAAAAAAAAAAAAAATTCGAAGTAATTAAAAAAACAAAAGTTTTCTAAAAAAGTTTCTTAAACAATTTGACTAATTTATAGCTGCTCAGTAATTTTTCTTAATTTCAACAAAACATCAAACTTTGCTGCTAAAACTCAATTTAATTTTACTGCCTAATAACTCTTCTTAATTCCAACAAAACACCTAACTTTTCGCATTTCCATAAAAGATTTTTGAAATTGATTTTATATTTAACAGAAAATTTTTGCATACAATTTGTAAGATTTTTAGCATTTTAAACAACTGCATGGTTTTTGTAGTATACATGTTTTTTGTAATTACAGTAAACTTCTAATAAACTCAATTTTCCAAAGGACCAAGAAGTTCAAGTTAGGCAATTGTTCAAAGTTATCAAGACACTATAACCTTTGCAAAAAACTGAAAATAATTTTAATTTAAAGTGTCATTCTTCATTGTCATCTTCATTAGACTGGCCAAATTTATGTTGACCTGAAGTTACTGAAGTTTTGCAAAACAATCAGGGATTGTAGAAGTTTTTGGTTTTTGCCATGCAAGTCCATGTGCATTCATTGCATACAAAATCAAAAAAAACAGGAAGATCTTTTTTCTTTATCAATAGCAACAACCAGTCAATTATTTGTTGCAGTTTAAATTATATAATTATAATATTTAAGACTTTAGATTATTGATCATTGATTGTGGAGTTATCTATGATAAACTTCTCTTTTGTAAACTTTCATTTAATATATCTATTTTCAAACAGTATGATATCCAGCTTCGATTTTTCTATGTGCAAGGTAAGTGTTTAACTCCTTTGAAGTAGCAAAGGAATTTTGATATACCTATGACAAACATAGGAACTTTATCATTCGCTGCATTTGCTGCCAGTAGTCCACTAAAACAAATTTTACTGTGTTTTTCTCTTTTGCAAGTTTCACACAGCCTCATTTTGTAGATTATTATTTACCTTATTTTGAAAACATTTTAAAACATTTTTTTTAGTTAATTGGAATATAAGCTATAAATAAGTATCATAAAATTCCGTAATTTAATATTTAATTTTAGAGTTTAATAGCTGATTTGTTTTAAGATTAAGAGGGCTAGGTTGAAGGTTGTATGAGTCAGAAAAACGTGAAGATAAGAGAGGGTTCCAAAGCAATAATGTGCAAGTAGGCAGATAAAGTAAAAGGAAGCAACTTTGCTGAATACAAAATACTCTAGAATGAAATATACACCCATACATTATATACTATACTATATTTACACTATACATTATATACTATATTTACACTATACATTATATACTATACTATATTTACACTATACATACTTTTATATTTAAGTTACACAAAACTTCATATTGACTAAATAATGATTAATTTTCTTAAAAAAGTCAAAAACTAGACACACATTTTGTTCTACAAAATAACTCAAATAACTTTTTTTTTTATGATCAAGAATAAAAAACAACAACAAAAAAACAACCACATGGACCAAAAACATTACTTTCAGTATTTCATAATTACCAGAATTTTAAAGAATAAATTTCTGAAGAGAACTTGTTTAAAAATTTAGTAACAACAATGGTAAAATACTTAGTAAAGATATTACAAATGCCAATAGGGTAAGTTATTATTAAGTTAAAGGGTGTCTCAAAAAAAATTTGAGACACCTTTATAAGTTTTTATATCTTTTGAATATAGCTGTTGCAACTCTTTTGAATTGTTTTTTACTTTTTATATATATATATATATTTTTTTTTTAATTTTAATTCACCTCCTCAAGGCCGAGAAGGCCACTACAGACGAGGTGGCTACTTATTTGTGGCTATAACCCTCTCTCAACTCTATAACTCCGAAACACGAACCTTGACGAACAAGGCCGCTGCGCGGAGAAACGAGTTGAGCGCGGTACTACCAGGGACGTGGTGGGGATTGAACTCGGAACCACTCGTTTATGAAGCAAGTGCTCTACCACTACACCACTAAACACCACTTTACATTTCTACAAGTACAATTGTAACATATCACAATACATTTTGAAATCAGTATAAGATTCAGTTACTTTGACAATGTTTTTAGATTGAATTTATGTTTAAAAAAACTCATTTGTATGTTTTGAACTATCAAGAAATTTTTATGTTATAGACAATATGTGACCTAAAGAAACAAGGAAATAATAAATTTATCACAAGACTGCAATTAACTTTTTGCTAATTCTAACATTGCAAAGTACCACTGCAAAACACATGCGCAAAAATAAAAATATATTTTTTTTCAAATCATTTTTGTAATTTCACAATTGCTAATATTTTTAATGACATGTTATAAATTTATTTTGCTAAAATTTATAATTACCTAACCCTGATACTAGAACTTTTAATTCGCCTGATCCAGAGATTCGATTCATTAACAAATGTAACCCAAGTAAGTCACTAAGGTCTATTGTAGACTTCATGAATTCGCCTAGAAAATCGCCTTGCAGAGAGTTATTATCATTTAGAGGAAAAAAAGTTGCAAGGATAAGCATCTTGCACATTTGCGTAATAATATATGCTAAAACAGACTTTCCTAAGTGCCATAAGGTATGGTAATCTGATCTAAATTTTAAATAAATAAAAAAAAGTACACTTTAACTTTTTTTTTTTCCTGTATTAAAAATAAACATTATTTTTTTTAAATAATGCAGCCAATGTTAAAGAAAAATAAAAAATACAGACTTACAACCCTGAGCTCCTATACAAAAGTAAGTGAGGTCCAATGCTGAGGGCAACACAGTTTCCAAAATGAAAAAGAGTCATTTAATTGTAATGTATTTTCTCTTTATCTTTAAAAGTCTATACAGTATGTAGAATCAAAAACTGAAAAATATGAATATTTACCACTGTGATAATGATAAATATAAAAAAAAAAAACAATAAGTAAAAAATGAGTAACATTAATAAGAATGGAATATACAAAATTGTACATTTCAAAACTTTAAAGGTTTTTTTTATGTCATGTGTTATTTAACTTTACTAAAACTGTTGATAACTACTTGTAATTAACAATTTTTAAACTTTAATTTAAAATAAAACAAATCTAAAATTAATTACTAATATATGTCACTCTAAAATATGTGCAATATAAGTTAATCGAAATCAAATACTTTTGTGATACTTAAAACAAGCAGTGCTGAAAAAAATATATAAATATACGCTAAGATTCTTAGTGTATATTTAAGATTCTTAGTGTATATCTTAGATTCACTAAGATTCTTAGTGTATATTTAAGATTCTTAGTGTATATCTTAGATTCACTTAGTGTATATTTAGCTTTTTTTAGATTTAGATATTTAGATTCTTAGTGTATATTTAGCTTTTTTTTTTTTCAGCACTGCTTGTTTTATGTATCACAAATGTATTTATTTTTCTTTGTAAGAAGAATAGATAATTTTGAAAATAAGATTTTCTATGAGCTATCCCGGTTAATCTAGCCCGGTAATATTATCGCTTAAAGGACGGAACACACTTTTGTCAAACCCCTATTTCGACGTTGAGTGTCCTCTGCGTCCGCGAGAACCTGCCTTAAAGACAGCCACCTTTTTTTTTAAAACATTTTCGCTTCCAACAAGGCTGCAAGCAACCACTAATTAGAGTTGGAAATTACTGAAAGAGAAAAAATGAAGATCGCAGAGTAAGATAACGATTAACAGACGACTTAAAAGATTGCAAATTATATAAATCAGGAAAGCAAGTGAATTCCAAAGAACTGATGTTCGAGAAAAAAAATAAAAGAATAAGAAATTTTGGAGCACATAGGAACAGTCACAGAAAAAGGATGAGACTTAATTGAATGACGAGTAACACGAGAATGGATTTTAGTATATGGCACAAGAGACGCTAGCTCTTTAGAGCAGTACTTTTAGAAAAGAGAAAGAGAAGCAACATTACAACGATGTAATAATGGTTGAAGGTTGGCTGCAAGAGCAGGTCCAATTACGTTTACAATTCGTTTTTGCACCTTGTTTAAAAGAGAAAGAGCATCATTAGAAGATACGCCCCAGATAGGGCAACAGTATTCCATACAAGACCGGATTTGAGATTTGTAGAGATAGAGAATAGAATCCAGAGTAAGAAAGTGCTCGATAAAGAGATGAAATTTTAGCAGATACTAATTTAGCAACGGATTTAATATGTGGTTTCCGAGAAAGATAGAAAGCAAGATTTAATTCTAGAAGATAAAGGGTAGATGACTCATCTAGTACAGTACTGTTCAGATATATAGGAAGGTCTAAATTATTGCGATAACAGTTCTCTAAAAAACATTTTTTTTTATCTGAATTTAAGTTCACCAGCCTTTGTGTGAGCCCCATGATGTAGCAGAAGTGAGATCCTTTTCAAACTCAAATGCCCCCTCCAAGCAATCAGAGAGTGTTGGCTTCTTATCAAGACAAAAATAAATGGTAGTATCATCAGCGAACAATGCAACCTTAGATGTCTGAAAGGTAATGTGAATTAAAAAAAGTGTATAGGGCTTGAATCTTAAGGAACCCCTGAGGTTACAGAATAAGAAGAAGAGTGCTGTCCATCGAGGACAAATTTTATACTGCGATTGGAAAGGAAGGATTCAATAATCTTAAAGATGTTACCAGATAAAACGTAAAAAGAAAGCTTATGAAGAACACCAGCATGCCAAATTTTATCAAACGCTTTAGAAATGTCAAAAACAGTGGCTTTAATCTCCCCACCTTTATCTGAACCACGATAAAATCTATTGGTCATTACTGTTAGCAAATCAGCTGTAGAACAAGAAGACTGAAATTTATATTGATGATTAGAAAGTTATTCGATTTAAGATGAGAGATTAAGTGTTTGTTAATTAAAGATTCGAAAACCTTGCTTATGATAGGAAGAAGACTAATGGAAAGGTAGTTAGACAAATGAGATCGCTCTAAGACGTTGAAAAAGTCAGATCGCTCTACAGATTTGTTAAAAATTTTGATAGGTTATGAGATTCGAGATGAGAGATTAAGTGTTTGTTAATTAAAGATTCAAAAACCTTGCTTATGATAGGGAGAAGACTAATGGAATGGTAGTTAGACGAATCAGATCGCTCTCCAGACTTTTTGAAAATAGGGATAACAGATGCTGCTTTCCAGCAGGCTGGAAAACAAGACTCTGATAAGCACTTGTTCAATAGTTTTGAAAGTATAGACGACAGTTCCGAAAAACACTTCTGGAAGACTATAACAGGTATGCTGTCCGGGCCACAAGCTGTAGAAGAGTCCAAGCAGGAAATCGCTTTAGATACAGAAGCTGGAGTAATACAAATGCCAAGCAACGGATCAACCTGTTTGACGGCTATATCAGGTGGAAGTGACCGCTATATCAGTAGCTGTTTATTAAGTCAAAAAAATAGGAGTGAGGATCTGAAAGTTTTTGACAGTTGTTGACAAGGGGGAGAGAGAGGTCAAGAAAATGTTACTTAATACAGGGCTGACAACGGGTTTCAAAGTGGACTGACACAATCGTCAATTTATTAAAAAAGTCCTCTATATCTAAAAATTTCAGGAAAAACAAACAAACAAAAAAATAACAACAATAAAGAAACAAAAAAAACAAACAGTCATTTAGAAAAAAATTGACAAGCCTAGTGCCGCTCTGGTGGCGTCGGTCCTGCAATAAATTTGGTAACTTAAACTTGAAGTAATTTAAAATTTAAGTAAAACCTAATTTATAAAAAGAGTACTTGTGTCATTTTTTTGTGTACCTATTTTAACTCAAGTGCTCAAAGTGATAAAATATTTTAAAACAAGTATAAGTAGTTAAGTGGATTGGTGGGGATAAGGTAGGCAGCCCCCCCCCCCTCACTAAAATTTGAAAGTCCTAAAACATCATAGAAATTGAGGACCTTATTTTTAGGAGACGGGCAAAATACAAAAATTTTTAAACATGCCCCCCTCTCCCACACCAAAAATTCCTGGATCCGTCACTATTTGAAATCAGAACTAAAGTAACCTGCAGCCGTATTCTCATCTCTAATTTTTTCATTAGAAGACGTATTATGTTATTATTAATAATATAAATTAATAACTTTGCCTTTTCTTATTTATATTTGTAAAAAGTTTATTCTTACTTATTTTATTGATTTTATATTCTTTACTTCACGTATACGTTTATATAAAATATTAGTGAGTAGATCCGCGTGATCTCTCTTTGGATTATAAAATATATATTTGGATTATATATATATGAAATTTGTAAAAATTTGATACTGTTAATGCTTGTTTGAACTTATTTAAGGTTCTGACGACAAGATCCTTTGATCTTCTTTCAGATACCTTATTTTATATTTGTGAAAGTTTATTATTATCATCATTATTTTTTATTTTATTTTATTTTTTTGGCAATATATAGTTGTAATACGACCAACAAATGTAAAATTAAAAAAAAAAAAAAAAAAAAAAATCTCTCCGTTAAGCTTAACGGAGCTTTTGTCTGAAATTTCATTACAATATATCTAAGTAAAGAAATGACCAAAATCTTATTTAAATATTTTAAAATAAAACTAATACTAAAATAAAATATTTATTTTTAAGAATTTATATTTTTAAAGAATTTTTTTATTAATATCTTTAAAAAGAGAATACGGCCCCTGGCAGTTAAAAGATTGTTAAAAAATAGAAATATTCTGTAAAACATAATAATAAGACTTAATAATAATTCCTGGAAAATGTCTGATTCACAAAAATACACTCTTATTGAAACAGTATGTTTTTTCGGCGTCCTTTGATTCAACCGAATCCCTAATTTCAATTTAGAACCGAATATGAGAAATTTATTACACAACCGAAAATATTAACGAAAAATATAAGAACCGAAAAAATTTCAATCGAATTTTCGATCGAAAGTCATTAAAGATTTTAGAACCGAAAAAATTTCGATCGAATTTTTGCTCGAAAGTCATTAATGATTTTAGAACCGAATTTCATTAAAATGGTTTACAACCAAAAGTTGTAGCACCGAATTTTTTTAGCGTTTATAAATATTTTTAGTTTAATGCTTTTGTAATATAAGTTTAATGCGCTTACTGTTTTGAATACAGTCTTACATAATAAAGTTTAAAATAGCATTGCTTGTTTTCAAAAACATCTCGTATATGGTGGAATAATAACTACAGAATGGAGTATCAAAAAGTTGAAGGCGAAAGGAGAAATTCATTCCTCTACATAGCTGGGAATAATTGCTATATAAAAAAAAAGAATCACAACGATTACATTTATTTAAAGTGCAAAAACTATCAACAGTGTGTTGGAACTGCAAAAATACGCGAAGGAAGTGATTTTCTTGAGACAATGCGTGGCCACTCTTGTGATTCCGAAACAGAAGATTTTAGCCATTTGGAATGATGGAAAGAATGAGACTCAAAGCTGCAATTACACAAATTCCGTTACGCCAGATGTACATGAAAATCATTCGAGACTGTCCCGAAAATGTTAAAAATTCTTTATCCTGCTTGAAATGTGGATGGATGCTTCGTGGTGCGAGAAAAACTCGGTGCGGTGCAAATCCCAATAGCGTAGAAGAAGCAGTATTGGCAATATCTGAGCCAAATCCATTTACCAACATTCTGAAAGGAATCGTCAGATTTGAATAGTATGACCAGTTGGTCATACTATTTTGTTCATCAGCACTACTACAAATACTCTCAGGTAGCACAGTAATTTAGCTCAAAATTGATGACTTTTTGTGAATTTTTTTTTTTTAATTTATTTAACATTTTTTAACCTTAGCTTGCTCATAATATTCTGTTTTTGTTATATTTTTCAATACTCTTACAAATTTATTCATTTTTTTTTAGGTTTTACATTTACATTGCTGTATTTAAAAAAATTAAGGAACTTTCAAGTGACTTTCAACCACG